GCTGGCATCGAACACAAGAACCTCCGCAGACGATCGGAAAGGCAATCGGAGGGCTCGCTTGGTAGCTGAGGAACAGCTATCCGCCAACATGGGCCGGGTCTTCCTCTCAGGTATCTGCCACGGTGAATGTCGGAACGGCAACCAAGAGGGTTTGCCTACTAGCTGAGGAAAAGCTAGTTGGCAGGATCTTCCTTTCAGAAATCGGAGAAAGGAAATGTCGCACAAGAAGCCGGGGAGCTTGCCTGATGCTCAAAGGCTACAGAACATCATGACAGGATCTTCCTCTCTGGCATCGTACAACAGGAAGCGTCGGGGAGGTAGCTGGAAGGGTTGCCTGGTAGCTGGGGAACAGCTGCCCGCCAACATGGCATGGTCTTCCTCCAAGGCCTGCAAAGCTGAAAAACAACTATTCGGCAATGTAGCAGGGTCTTCCTTTCAGGATTCTGACCAGGGAAGTGTCGCAAAGGTAACCGGATGGTTTGCCTGCTCACTGAGGAACAGCTGCCCGCAATGGGATCTTGATTTCAGGAATCGGAGAAGCACATGGAGGTCTATGGAGGGCTTGCGAGTTGGACATTTCACACTGTCTCGGAGGTAGTTGGTGGGCTTGCCCACTAGCTGGGGAACAGCTACCGGCAATGCGACAGCATCGTGTCGGAAAAGTAGCCGGAATGGCTTGCCTGCCAGCTGAGGAACAGCTTCCTGGCAATGCCGCAAGATAGCCCCTCTCAGATATCTAACAAGGGAGGCGTCGGAGCGGTAGGTGACGGAATTGCCTGCTAGTTGGGAAAACCGACCTGGCAACGTCCGACCTCTTCCCCTCAAGATTCTGATACGGGCAAACCTCGGATAAGTAGGCGGGGCTTTGCCTGCCAGTTGCGTGTCAGCTCCCCGGAAATGCAACGCGATCTCCCTTTCGGCAACCTGACAAAGAGGGAGTGTCCGCTGCTACTCGGCAATGATGCACGATCTCCCTCTCAGGAATCTGACAAGGCACGCGTCGGATATTTAGCCGGAAGGCTTGCCTGCTAGCTGAGGAACAGCTACCGGACAATGCCTCAGAAATCTCATAAGGGAAGTGTCGCCGAGGTAAGCAGAAGGCTTCTCTGCTTGCTGAGGAACAGCTACGCCGGAACGCGACAGGTTCTTTCTATCAGGAACCAAGGTGAAGTGTTGGAAAGTAGGTGGAGGGCTTGTGTATGAGGCACAATGCTTCTGCACAGCCTGCACCAAGATAGCCGGTCGGAGAAGGCACACCTGGAGTCTGGGGCATAGCTGTGAGTGCTGTATTGAGGTTGCTGCGATCGCCGCCTGAATGGAAATTGTGGAGCCTGGCCCAGCAGCACACACCAAGCCAAGTGTTCAAAATCGAAGGCGCCGTATAGTAACCGCCCACGGACAGCAAGAAGGACAGCTGCTGCAACACTCGCCTGTTGATCAAAGCAGATTTGTGCTGCTGAGAGGTGGGAATGAGCATCACCGGCAACTCGGAAAGCATGCTGCGTCGGATTTGGCGAAGTTCTCCTCCACCAGTCTCTGCGCCTCAATCATTCGAAAAATTTGTGCCTGCTGTCAAGAGACACAGTAGCTTGCGAGCTTGCACAGTGATAACCACAAAACCCTAGCCACTGAAGCCTTGACCAATGACTGGCAAGAACTGCTTGCTGAGTCCCGCGCTCGTGCAGGAACTTATTGTCGTAAGTTCCGTGTGTCTGCCCTGGACAGTTCGGACGCAAGAATGGCCCTGCATCATTCGGCCCGGTCCCCTACCACTCGATCCCCACACTCGGGAAGAATTCTAAGCCCCCAGATTCTGAGCCCAGAGACCGAAACCCCAAAGGTATGAGTCAAAAACCCTCACCACAACCGAAAACTGTTCAAACCGCCCTCCCAAACTCCAAGGCAAGCACCGTCCGGTCCGAAGAGCCGGCAGAAGCAGAAGTTCGTGGTCTGGACGCGGTCAGTCCAGCCACTGGGCCTTGAAATGGTATTGAAGTCATGCTAATCAGTCGTCATCACCATCATCATCACCGTAATCATCATCGCCATCATCATCATCATCATCATCATCATCATCATCGAAGCATCACCATCATCATCATGGTATTGAGCAACCTTCAATCGTTCGCAGAATGTAACACACAGGAACTGAACTTGAATGCATATCATCCTCGCGCAAGCAGAGGCTGACCCCAGACCTCACATCCTATACCCCCCTATGCTTCCACACCATGTCTCCACCTGCCTACTAAATCAACCATCCAACAAACCAACACGCAAAGCACTTCCCAAAATCTACACAATAACCCAAAACACAATCACACAACAAAGCCTCACAATCCCATCACGATCCCAAAACACAAAGCACTTGAACAATCCCTACCCTGAACTCCTCCTAATGAGGTATAGGATGTGAGGTCTGGGGTCAGCCTCTGCTAAGGAATCCATGGAATCCCAAGGCCACGGCAGATTCGAAGCCCATCCTGTCCTCAGCTGGGGCCCGTGTCCACACCTCTGTTTTTGAGGACTTATCGATGCAAAAAAACATGGCATGCCGTATGTGGCTGAACTTGCGCGAATCCTGCTGGGTTGCAAATCCTGCAGCCGGACCACTCCTGAATTTACCTCCAAACAAGGACAGGTGAGCCCTCAGCCACTACTCATCATCCCAAGCCCACCATCAAGAAGAAAAGCAACGTGCAACGGATACTGGCGAGAGTCGTGTTGTTCAGATGCAACCAAGCCAGGCACCACCGCTTGTCCCTGCCGGCAGTTCTTCCAGAGAAAAATCGGGATCGCTCTACTGGTACAGAAGACCTACAAGTGGTATGTTTTTATGCCTGGATGCACGAGGTTTATATGTCCTATGTAGTGCCTCACGACCATCCCTTGACATGAGCATGCTGGGGCATATGCGGCTTTCTCTCCAAGGACCACTCTGACTGACTGCACCAAAAACTGTGCATGGGCCGGGCCCTCGTCAGCCCTGCACAAACCTCAAGAAGTCGTAGACGTCTTGACGGTACCAGCTGCCGTCACGAAAGTCCACGATATGCCGGGCCTCACAAAAAGAGTCTTCGGTGGAGGCTTTCGGCTCTTCAGCGCTCCATGCCTTCGCTATGCCGCTGCCCTCCTGGCTCAGGAACTCCACGAGCCTCTCAAACCTGGAGAGCGGCTTCGTGAAAAGCGACGCTAGCCGCTGGAAGTTTTAGGGAATAGGCCTTGAGTAGAGTTCGTCACTGTAGACGAAGCTTGGAGGAAACCTGCCACGAGGACAAGAGATAACCTCTGGCTCCAAGATGTGCAGTGGTGCTAAGAGCCCGACTGCCACAAGAAGGCGACAGTGGCGGGTGCCAGGTAATGGTACTTTTCCTTGGGCATGGGTCAGCTCCCCAGCAGGCCAAGCAAGCGAGACGTCCGGGAGGGCGAGAGACAGAGGGTTGCAGCTGAAGCACCCAGTATATACCAGAGCACACCACAACACATTACCAAATTCAACCACGAGCATGAGCATCTGTCGCTGCACATTTCCCTCGGACAGGAGGCATCGCTCACGTGCGACTCACGTGCGACTAACGTGCGACTGGAACCAGCCCGATAGCTGCCAGGACGGCAACGAGCGTCGCACAGAAAACTTATCTTTGAAGGCAGCGTGTCACACTGCCCTATTAACGTGGTGATCTGGATCCTGCCTAAAGCCTGCGGGGGCAAGGAAGAGGCCCTGAATGCTACAATCGCCATGTCCCTCGGTACGTCCGCTGGCTTCTTGTAGGATCCACATCAACCTTGCATGGCATGCACCGTATAATATAGAATGGTTCAAATGCAAAGGACGCATGCCCTGGGGACTCGTTCGCCCACGCGAACTCTGGACAACCGGCACACACCTGAAGGACCTGTGGTGAGCTCTTCATTTCGGGGGGTTTGCGTCTCCCAGCTCGAAATTGGCAGAGCCGGCCGGGCAGGGCCGGTCGCACCAGGGAAAATCAACCCTCTATGCCATGCTCGGCTGTGCGAGGATGTGCCACTTTTAATGGTGCGGGAGGAGGTTCATGAAGCCAGTTCACAGAAGGAGTGCCGTTGTTCGGGTCTTTTCGGTGCAAGGCATGATGATACCTACGACCTATCTTCTACACCCTACACCGATAGCTGAGCTTTGCCAGCACAAGAACGTCGGTGCTACAGAAAGCCAAATGCGAGAGCTCCAGGTCAGCAGCCGATCCGCTGGGATCACATTGTGCTGCAAAGAACATACCTGAGAATTGAGCCCAACTCTGACATCCAAAATCAGGATGACCGAGGTGGCAACACGTCTTGATCTGGAGCTTAAGTGCACATTGTTACAGGCAAACCGCTCTGACTGGAAACTATCGCCTTCAAGAAAGCCAGACAGTAGATAATTGATATTGAGACTTAGTGTTTGTGGCGTCGAACATGCAGGGGCCCTGGCTCCTGCACAGGCGGAACATGAAGTCGACTGCTGCCGTCCGGAAGCACGTCGAAAGTCGCACCTCGCTTCCTGAGCTCCACTGGCTATACTGGCTGTACTGTACTGATTTCAAGTTCTCAAATTGACAGGTAGCCGCCAAACCTCCATCAAACGCGCACCGAGGCGAAACTGAGCCACTAGCTGAAGTTCGGAGAGTGCGCAGAAGTACCTCAGCTCGCTTCATAATGTAAATTGCTTGGTCCACCATTCTGCATCCCAGTTGCAGGTCGCTTTCGCTCCGGTTGGCTCTCCTGCAGTTGGATGGAGTGCGTTTGCAGCACTTCTCCGCCCTCCCGAAGCCTCATGCAGGAACACAGCGTCAAGCAGGTGCAGCAGTCACCTGGTCAAGGCATTGTAGAAGCGTCTCGTCTACGTTCCTGTACTGTTTTACCGAGATGCATGTGCAGCGCGTCATGCCAATCGCTGAAACGATAAGGACCTCGACTCGATCAGGTCACCAACAATGCCGGCAACAGGTGCATGCCGCTGTCTGGAGCACAAAATCCGAGCAAAGTCTTGGTCAGGGTGTGGGCCCAGTGGAGGCTCTGTGTATGACTGGCTACTAGCCTGAGCTGCGAACTATAAGGCTCCAAGCTGCCACACCTGAGGCGAGTTTTTTTTTCTCCCTCTCTCTCTCTCTGGCTTTCGCCAACGCTGCGGTGCCTTGGAGTTGCCCTCCACACTCTCTCCATATCTGTCTCTCTCTTTCTTTATCTCTCTCTACCAGGTTACGCGGCATGGGGCAGCCCCGCCCCGATACCCTCATGCGAACGTCTACCTGCAATGTCCAGCAGAGATTTTGGGAATCTCCGTGGGGGTATGCCCGCGGAGGCACTCGAGTCGCATCTTCCTGGTAGCCCCACTGCTGCTTCGCTCTGCCAACACGGAAACACTTAACATGCACAGGGACGTGGACAGCAGCACTACACTCAGACTGCAGCGGTAAGGCCCCGGCCACATGACTACATGATTTCCCACATGGTCCCCCAACAGCACACTCACATTGGTTCAACGTCTGGGGCCCATGCTTATCGTGCACCCCCAGAGGACTGCTATTATTAGTCGTAAGGACCGCGTTTGCCGTAAAGGTTGCTAGGCTAGGTGTCGGCGCCCGCAGTGAATCTTTCTTCTTCTTCCAGAACACGTGGGGGGCGGTCACACCCCCCGGCCACCAGGGCCCCCCACATGTTATGGGGCTTTGAGGGCAATGCGAGACTGTAAACATACTATGATTCGAAGGTGACCCTTCCTTCCTTCCTTCCTTCCTTCCTTCCTTCCTTCCTTCCTTCCTTCCTTCCAATGTGTTCGGGCTGGCGTCGCTAACCTGCGCCGAGGCGCCCTCCTCTCGATTCGGTTTGTAGGGAAGAGGTTTTGGGGCTGTAAGGACGGTTGTCGTACCAAAAGTCGCTACGACTGGAGTTGTGAGGGTGCTGCATGCTTGACTGTGTGAGGCACTGT